AGGAGAAGCCACGGAGGAGTCTTTCCCGCGCCAGCGCGAAGCCAAGAGCGGCCACAGTCGCGCTTGGAACGCCGAAGAAAGTCGGCGGCGATGTAGCAAGAGCGGTGGACATTGTTCCACTAAATTACAAAATTGCCATTCATTTTCAAAGCCAAATTACTCCCAATTTTGTGTAACAACTCAAAAATCTCCAAAAATAAAAGTTGCTCAAAATTCAAAGTTCTACAACTTTGCTTTTATAACCATACCCAAATTCGGTCAACATTTTGAAATGCAAATTTGAATTCAAAAAGGGGACATTTAAAGAATTACGCCTTTTCAAATTACTCCAAATTTTTCTAAACAACTTTAAAAAATCCAAAAACAAACTTTGTACAACTCAATAAGCTCTACATTTTTGCTTTAAGGCTCAACCCCAAAATGTGCTTCAATTTTGAAATGGGTTTTTCAGGTCAAAACTTAAACGCCGAAATTAGGGTTTTCGAAAATCCCAATCCAAACAAAACCGGGAACATGATTCATACACTACAAGGCAACACTTATAACACAAATATAAACTTGTTTTATTGAATGCATATCAAAGTTCTCAATATGACCACATGCTTTGCAATGCATATGATGACATGTCCTGTTTTAGTATTTAAAACACCCGAGGTGTTACAGGCCGGTGGAGGATGCTCCTCCTCCAGTGGACGCTGGGACGAGTGCCTCCTTGCGGAGGCGTAGTACGCCAAGTCGGTCGGCGAAGAAGTCCAGACTCTCGAAGAGGAAAGTCTAGAGTGGCTGAAAGACGGGAGGAACCCACATCCCAACAGGTGGGAGCGCGGGAAACTTCAGCGAGTCAAGGCGAATCGTATCGTCCGAGCCCGCCATGACGAAGATGGTGGAAAGGTGGGCCATCCGATGACCAAAAGCGTGAACGCACAGCATCTTCCCCACGGACGACGCCAACTATCGGTGCGAAAAGTGACCAACAAGTAAATATTTGTAGTTTTGTCGTGTGTTGTGATCGGATGTGGCATAGCACGCGATGACACATGATTTATACTGGTTCAGGCAACGTGCCCTACATCCAGTTTCAGTCAGTCGGTGACTTTATTTCTGAGCCTAGGTGCTCAAAATTTGGTGTGGGGTTACAAACGAGTAGGAATAAGAAGGGGGTGTTAAAGGCTCGGTCGGACTTTGAACCGAAGCGGCTGAGAGTGATGGGTGCTTTAACGTGCGCTAAGTATTAGAGCGTATGCTCTGTGTAGCTGTTGAATTCTAGAGCTGTTGAGCTGTTCTAATGCTTAGGTTGTCTAGAACTAGAGAGAACGTCCAACCTCTTTTCTTTCGAGAGACGAGAGAAAGTCCAGTGTCGAGAGAACGTCCTCTAGAGAGGAGAGAGTGCACCCCATTTTATAGTTCAAGGAGATGGCCTTACAAGTCAGAGAAAGAGAGAATGGATACGTGTGCTACCTAGTCTTGTTGCCCACGCTGTCGGGTACGAGACGGTCGTCGGCGCCACAATATTGTTTATGTCAGATGTATGTGGCAGGCTCTACCGTGTTTGCCTGATACGGCAAACGTCGGCGCCTACAATACCGTTCGTGCTCTGACACGCCTGGAAGGTTGCATAGTACCCGTCTGGCATGGGCTGGTGATGTCCTCGGTATTGCGGTTGACTTGAGCGCCTTACCTTATCTGCTCCGTTTGATCCTTGGGTCCTCATCGAGCGGGCTTCTCGGTCGGCTCCGACCGTGTCGGTCGGGGAAGAATCACGAGCGGAGGTCCGGCGTATCCCCGGTTGGAAAAGGAGGTCAGAGTCGGACTGTGTCCCCACCTTAGCCAGGCCTTCCGGTCGGGGATCAGGTCGTTGCCCTGACCTGTCATTATGTATCTAGGCTGGCCCGGAAGGCGCGTGTTGTCGCGACGCCGCCTGCTGGGCCGAGTTTCTTGCAGGGGAGCGGGTCCATTGGGGACCCCGGGTTTATGAACCCGACAATTATCGTTTCACTAGACGGTTGTGGGAAGGCATTGCAATGTGGGTTGGTGTACCTGGTCTACTACCTGTCAACTGAGTCCATGGTGAAAGTGTCCCCGAATGGTGGAGTAACATGGTTCGTATTCACTATGCGGACAGAAAAGGTTTGCGCTCTCTAATCATCTTAGTGTGCTCGGAAGTGTGGAAGGAAAGAAATGCAAGAATTTTTTAGCATAACAGCGCAATAAATCAACAAGTGCTAAACAAGATTAGAGATGAAGCGATGCTTTGGAAAGCGTCCGGAACAAAACATCTGGCAACTCTTCTACCTTTTTTTAATCCTTTTCTAGGTATATTTTACTTTGGAGCACGACAAACTAAAGCACCTTGTACAGTGCTATAGTGGTCGTCTTTGACTTTCTCCTTTTTAATATAACAGTCAGCTCTCCTGCCGTTAAAAAAAAGGAACCGAATCGTTTCGCCCTTTCGGGACGAGATTCCAGTCAGCACATGCTCTTGCTCCGCACGATTCGCCCTTTCGGGACGAGATTCCAGTCCAGCACATGCTCTTGCTCCGCTGAGTCCGCTCAGATCAAGTACAGTGCGGGGCAAGCAGCGCGTACTGATTTCAGAATTGAGACTTGAGAGTGCGTGCATGTCCTCTGCACTGCATGCATGGACTTGGAGTCTTTCTTTTTGAGTTGAAACAACCTTCGGTAACTTCTGTTTAACTTCTCTCTAGAAACTTCCTACTGCGAAGGGTGTTGTACTTACTGCAGTAAGGCTTGGTTAAATTGAACGTACAGGCTCACAAGCCCACAAACCATGGAAGCGAAACACAGTACTGTGTGCCACATGCGTCCGCTGAAATCCCCGGACATATTCGAAGACCGGGACCGTGTGTTCGCGGTACTACCCCACGCGAGGTACGTGTCCCGGAGGAATAACGACGGACGGAGTAGTCCTATCCCCAGCCGCAGGCTCTGTACCCTTTCCGAGCTGTCAGGGAATCGTCCACAGTCCAGAGTCCTCCAAACCCAAACGAGGCGCTGGGCGCTGGCGGTGAGGGGGGAGGGGAATGGGATCGGCGACAAGCCAAGAAAGGCACCGGCGAGGCGAGCCCCCGCCTAGCTAGGGCGGCTAAAGAAAGAGATGCGCGCCAGCGGGGTTGGCTATGGGCTATGGCCTTGGGGGGGGACGACACGCTGCTGCTGCCTGCTGGAGCTCGGCTCTGTTCCGGTCTGGTCCATCTCGCCTTTTCTGCCCACGTCCATCCATGGACGGCACTGTGTATGCACGAACCACGAACCAACCCAACGCCACACGCACCAACCAGCAGCACTACCCTAGTTGTGTGCTCCATGCGGTGGCAGGGGGGACTCGTTTTGCAGCTATATCGATCGGCCTTTAATCTGTCCCGGCTGCTTTCACGGTCACACAGTCACTGCTCACGAATCGCAAGTTGCAGCCGCCTTGCAGGAGGAAGGCTAGAGGCGAGAGCCAAAAGCTCCTGGTCTTTTGCACCGGCCATCCACGCTTTTACTGTTGCAAAATGAACCGGCCGGCATGAGTTGCTAGCTGTTGTCAAACTGGGGGCTGGGGCAGGGGAGGGGAGCGCTCTCGTCGAGATCACGTACGGCGTGTATGCTTCGATGGAGCCGGAGCGGGAGCGAAAGCTCCTTTTTCCTTGTGATGTTTCGAGAGTGGCGTTAGGTTTGTTTCCCATTACCTGCAACTGCAAGAGCTAGTAGGCTTTTCGGCAAGCAGATTTCGTTTCTGCCTGCCTCTGATCACTTGTCGCGGAGGATGCCTGTCGTCGTCGAGTATGGAGTTGGAAGGAACTTGTTTGATACCGGCCGGGGGACGGGACGCACCGCACTGCGCAGCTAGCGTTGGTTGGTCGGAAGGTCTGGGTCGACCACGTTACGCGCGCCTACGAACGCAACTAGGGGTTGGGGTTGCACCGCCCTAGGCGACGTTAGCTATAACGAATAACGATAGCGTGCAACCAGCGCAAGGAAAGATCGAATCTTCCAGCAGTGCGCTAGCTATGTTCTGTTGCCGTGTTGCGTTGCGTCGAACGCCAGTCGAGTCTTTCCAACGTCGGCAACAGCACTGCACTCCTACTTGCAGAGACGCTGCAACAGCTTCTCACCTGGTACGGGACCGGGCAGTGCAGACGCGCAGGCGCAGGGTATAGGCACCGACGTGGTGGTACCTCACCTGGTACGGGACCGGGCTGGTCGCCGTGTCAAGGGCTTGCTGCGAACAGAAGGAATCGATCGGTTTCGGACGTCGCAATGCAATGCGGTAATGGTGTGCTAGGCCTGGGTCATCCATGTTGATCGGGTGTGTGACCTGTGTGTTTGTGACAAGTTCCTATTCTTCGTTCATAGCTCTTGCTTTCTTCTCTCCTTAAGTCCAGTGAACCTGTCTTCTCTTTAAAGTTCAGCTAGGCGCTAGGCGGAATCTAGGCGCTGACCCACTGCCTAGCGCCTAGTTGGGAGTACTCGGTCCTAGACGCTTCTAGACGTTTTCCTAGGCGTTTTAACAATATAGCCATAAATTATATATATATTATGTATATAACTATATATATGTATATAACTACTATATATGACTATATGAGTTACAGTAATGAGTAAGTAGAAAAAGAGGGCAGTAGACATATCTGATTCCTAGCTGGCTTATTCTTGCTTTCTTGCATGTTCCTAGCTCCTGCCTCCTGCAACACATTTTCACAGCTAGTAGTTAGTAAATTAGTCAATAGACAGCTAGCTGGTCATCCAAAAAAATAGAAAACACTAAGTTGTGACTTATCTGGATGATTTCAGCAGCCTCCCATCCATGAGCACACCATATCAGCAGCTGGTAATTACAATACAAGTGGATAGGACAGATAATACAAGTGCACAACACAATTTATAAATAAAGGACAGCACAAGCACATAGTTGATAGTTCCCTCACTCACTGTAGTTCAATACAAGCTGCACAACACAATTTATAACTAAAGGACAGTACAATACAAGCTGCAGTTCATATTTCTTCGTCACTATAGTTCACATCCTCATCGTCATACTCTTCTTCTTCAGACTCAAATTCTTCTCCTTCATAGAGCTCCCTCACTCTTGCACTTCTACGCAGCTCAAGCTGTTCATCTGCTCCCACTGCCTCTCCAATGACAGACCAAGGTATCCCGGTACCTTTCATCTCATCTTCCTCCCCATCTCTAAAGTCAGCTAATGCACAATCATCCCCACCCTCTTGGAGAAAACCTTGAGCTTCAGTTGTATCACTAGACTGAAGTATCTCAGTGATTTTGTTTGACTTCATCTTTTCTCTCTTACTAAGCAGCTTGGAGTTGAATTGGATATACACCAGCTTGTTGAGGCGGGTTGTAGTAAGCATATTCCTCTTCTTAGTGTGTATCTACAATTTAAAAAGAGTATTCTCAGTTCTACAATTAAATTGTAATGCTGCTGAAAGCCTGAAACATGTTCATAAATCATAATAGATAGGTAGTTAGGTACTAACCCCTTCAAACCCACTCTAATTTCTTTCACAACCAGAAGAGCTTGATGTCAAAGATAGGATCCTTGTAGCCATCTTCTGTAAAGCTGGTGTTTCATATCCATACAGTCTCCACCATGATGCTGAAATAAAAAAACACCTCTATTAGTTTAGAAAACAGCAAACAACAAACAACCATGAGCCATAGGAAGTACCTCTACCTGGGTTGTAATCAAAGTTTTCAAAATTCCTAGCAAGCTTCTTGCTAAAGGGTCCTTCTCTATTCTGAAACTTCTTTAGTTCAATGTTGGCAGCCATATGCTGCATGTCCTCATCATGATAAAAAAATTTCTCAACACAAGATATAAACCCTTCTGATATTTTGGGCTGATCAAAGATTGATGGGTCACTATAGCTATAGTGAGGATTCAGCAAATAGGCTGTCAAATGCAATGGAGAATCAAGTCTTCCATTCATCTTCTTGTCAATAACAGCTATTACATCCTTGAACCGAGCCTCAACATTTCCAAAGGCCTCTTTGATCTGTCTCTTTACCTTTAGTAGTTGTCCATAAAGGAAACCCATGGATGGCCTCACATCCCCATCAACCAAACGGAGGACTTTGACCAATGGCTCAAAAACAGTCAATGTTAGCTTCACATCCTTCCAAAAGCTTGGACTCAATATAGTTGCAGTTGCCTCTTTTCCTTTCTTTGATTTCACATCCTTCAATGAGTCCCACCTACTATGAACCACCATCTTCCTTAACTGGTCCTTCTTCTCTTGCATGCTACTCAAAGTGAGAAAGTTTGAAGCAAACCTAGTCACTCCTGGCCTCACTACCTCTTTCCCCTCTGTGAAGTATCTCAAGTACTCCAATGTCCTTGTGTGGCCATAGACAAATATGGTAAATGCCTTTGCTTGGTCAACCACTTTCTTGAACCGAGTCAAGTTGCCAATTCCTTGGAGCATAAGGTTGATTGTGTGAGCTGCACAAGAGGTCCAAAATATGTGTGGTCTCTTCTCTTCCAATAGCCTCTTTGCTCCCATGTTGTTAGAGGCATTGTCAGTCACTACTTGCACCACATTGTCTGGACCAATCTCTTCAATTGCTTTGTCCACAAGATCAAAGATGATTTCACTGGTATGTGAGACATGTGACATCTCCTTAGAGCTGATGAAGGAGGTTCCATCAGCACAATTGGTGCACAGATTCATTATGCTTCTCCTCTTCCTATCTGACCAAGCATCAGTCATAATAGAACATCCATTTTTCATCTTATCGGCTTCACGCTCCTGCAGCAAACTCTTGGTTCTTTCATATCCTTCTTCCAGCAACTTCCCTCGCAGTGCATCCTGAGTTGGAGGTACAAGTCTTGGACCAAACTGTCCAATTGCTTCGCACATTTGCTTGAACTCATCATTATCACATGCATTGAAAGCAATTCCTACCAACACAACATTGAAAGAAGCATAATTAGTGTTCAGTATAGGAAAACAACATCTAATGAACTTTGAAATGTAAAAACAGCATAGTATACTAGCAATTTACCATGTGTATAGGCCCATTTTGCAATGTACTTATGCACCTCATTGGTTCTTTCTTTCCAAAGTTCCTTGTTCAGCTGTTGTTGCTTCAAAGAATCAGACTTGGTAGCTTTAGGATCAATAGCACGTGTCCATTTGTCAATGGGTCCTAATTTGTGGGGCTCTGAACTTCCAACACATGTAACTTCATCTGAATCTGTTCCAACCCTAATACATGAACTTCCTCTCTAATTTCTAGCTCACGAACAGTCTTCTCCTCCCTCTTCCTTTTTGCATCAGCTAGTGCCTCTTGCACTTCTCTTTAGCCTCCATAGCCTGTGGTGTTCTTGCTGTGCATTTCTTCACATTCTTTCCTTCATGAGCCAAATGCTCCTTCAACCTATGAATCCCTCCTCTCATCTCCTTGTCACAGAGCTTGCACTTCACCTTGTCCTTGTTGCTAGCATCAACAAGAACACCATACTCCCATCCAACATCATCTGAGTTCCTTTTCAGGAGATTAGTTGCCTCAGTGCCTGTTGCATCTGGTGCAGAAACACCTTGTTCTGTCGACATCCTACATTCAAATTCAAGAGTTCAGTCATACTTGTTATAAGTAACAAATTCAAGAGTTCAGTCATACTTCTCAGAATCCAACTTTATTTTGCTATGATTTTGCTGCAATGATTCTTGCTAAGTTATAAGTAAAATGACAACAATGCACTGGTAAATCAATAAATCATATCCATTCATGACATATACATAGATCCACTAGCTGGATCCTAATTTCCCAGAAATGAGACAATATTTCTTATGTCATAGTGTCATACTCATGATTTTCATGACACATACATAGATCCAAGCAGACAGTAGTGTTGCCGGCATAGTGTCATACTCATGATTTTCATGTCATAGTGCTGCCGGCATGGGAGGGGAGAGGAGCATGGGAGGGAAGGGAGCTCACCTTGGGGACTTGGGGTGGCTGGCGGGGAGGGGTTCCAGTCGAGGACGAGCAGGACGGCGGCGGCGAGTCGGGGACGAGCTTGGACGAGCAGGGGAGGAGCAGAGGAGGAGCAGGACCGGCGGGAGGAGCAGAGCAGAGGAGGAGCAAGACCGGCGGGAGGAGCAGGACCGGTGGGAGGAGCAGGGGAGGAGCAGAGGAGGAGTAGGACCGGCGGGGAGGAGGTCGTCCGGCGTGATGGACCTCGCCCGGCGGGAGGAGCAGGACCGGCGGGGAGCAAGGGAGGAGCAGAGGAGGAGCGAATGGCGCCGCGCTCCATTAGCCTCCCGCGCCTGGGTCTCGTGGCCACGCGCTGGCCTGGCCGCGCGGGAATTCCTCCCGCGCTCCGATTTGGCGCCAAATCGGAGCCGCCCTCGAGCTCGCGCGCCTACGCGCCGTGTCCGCGCTCGCCTAGCGCGCCTCCACGCCGCCTAGCACCGCCTCCTCGCCGCCTAGCACCGCCTAGCGCCGCGACGCGCGACTAAGCCCCTAGTCGCGGCGATGGGCTTCGCCCAGCGACTAGGCGAGCGTAGTCGCTGATTAATCGCCGCCTAGCCGAACTTTGCTTCTCTTACTGTTCGTACCCCCAAGTGCCTACTGTATTGTTTGGCTATATATATACATTCATTTGTGACTTGTGAGTGCAGTAGCAGGATCGTTGTTCCTTTATCTAAAGGAATGAAAGAAGCAGAGGCGACCACGGCTATGTTCGGTTGATACATAAAGCCAGCGGATACGCCGACAATTATGAGAGAAAAATACTGTAAATTCTCCCATATTTGCCAGAGCAATGCTGAATGCGGCCTTCCAGCCATCCAGGATTCGTCCAAAATAAATACATTTATCAAGCTGACAAGTTCGATGATGTTTTGTGAGAATTAGTTGGTTACAGGATGTGAATTGAGAATTAAGCCCCCTTTGGCACGGCTCAATCAAAACGGCTTCACCGGTAAAGCCAAAGCCGGTGAAGCCAGAAAAACTGGCTTTTCCTGGCTTCTAGTTCATTTTAACCCCGGTTTACAAAACGACTTCACGATACAGTGCCTCGATTTGCGCAATATAGATGAAGCCGAAGCCGGCATAAGCCGTGCCAAAGAGGCCCTTAGTTAGTGAGAAGCTGCAAAATGGATCAAACATACTTTGAGAGCCGCAAGGTTGTATACTGCTTCAGTGCAGCTGGATAGCTGCCCAACTTTTACAGAGCGGACTGTATATATATAAGCATCAAAGAGAAACATACTGCAGAAAATTTGCTAAGAACTTACTACGGAACCAAAGAGAAAACAAGGAACTGTAGAACACAGGCGTAATTGCCAGAGAGAACTCCACTGTGCTGACTGCTGAGCCTCAGCGAAAGCTAACCAGAGCGAGCACCGGTAGTTATTCTGCCCTTCCTAACCATGAGCAAGAGCAATTCGACGAGTGCCAAAGGAAAATTTTGGTCAACTGCGTGTCAGCCACTGTCAGTACAGCCCCAGAAATTTCCACCAAATGGTTCCAACAACTCCCCAGGTTAACGTGTTAATCAAGGCTGTTATAAAACCCAGCCTGAAAACATCTGGAAGCTCAATATACCCGGCTGCAGAACAGAAGTAACAGGTTAATCTGCATACCAATTTCAAAGGGCTATATATACATACAAAAGAAGGCCCCGCTTGCCCACTTAGAATATTAAATCTTCTCGTTCCATAATATTATTCGTGACAAGTGTTATTTTTTCTTTTATTACTTTTTAGTACCAGATCCCATGTGTAAACGCAGAGGGAAACCACAAATTTTAGTTGGTAGGGTTAGTAATTTGAGCAAAAGAATAGCCAGAATTTTCAGGGAGAGGAAATAAAAAAGAAATTACCTCCAAAGTATACTGCAGCTTGCCCACTACTATAATGAGTGATTGCACCGAACAGATTTGTGTTAAATGCCAAAGCAAGTGCTGACAGCGCATGAGGAACACCGGCCGCTATATGCATAGCCAGAAATGCAGAGTATAAGGCTCCAACATGTCCAGTTTGGCTTGCAAATAGGTAGTGGATCAGAAAGTAGGAGGCCTCAAGAACACAAAATGCCACTGGCCAACTCAACGAGAACGACTGAAGCAGCTTGGCAACACAGCTTGACATCCATGAAACAATTCCCAGGTTAGTGAGTTGTGCTGCCATTCCAACCAGAACCGCAAACCAAGCCAATGTATCCCATGCTGATTTCTCATTCAAGCAATCATCCCAGTCTAGCACACCCAGAAGGAGAAGAATGGAGAGCCCAAGCATTGCAGCCACAACACTAGACACACCAATAGCATCCCTACACAGAAATTGTGAAACAAGTCATTACCAGAGTACAAAACCCGCCCCAAAAACAACACTAAGGAGACTAAGCAGTACTATTTCTAGGGCACCATGCATCACATCTCATGAATGGCATCCTGTAACATTCTACCTAATTAGTAATTACTAATTTAGTCACTTGAGCGAATTATTAATTATCTATGAAGTATTACATATACTGATGGATACAGCGGAATATGATCACCAGAGATATAATATGAAAAATACTTTTATTATAACAAAAGGCAGGAACCAGAATATAAATGTCAACTATCCTGGAGATCAGCTGTTGTCTGCACACATCTTAAACAGCGAATAAGATAACTTCTATGATTTTATCCAGTGATGGAACCTAATAGGGGGCTGGCAGGGCCATGGCACCCTCACAATCCATTTTTTTCTATTGATATTGAAGCCTTTGAGATCGAGAACTTTAGTGCATGTTTTAGTATTTGGTTCCTGAATCAACTTAGCTACCCCCTTAATCATCTAATCCTATGCCTCTATCAACAATGTTGAACCACACCATGCACCACATTCATAAATTGCAATGGAACGGACCAAATTTTCACTTACTAAACTAGGTGTCTCAAAATGAAAACAAAAAGGTGAAATCTTCAGAAATTAGGGAGGTAAAATAGAAAGAAAGATCAGGACTTTGTATGAATAAAATAATTCGCTGCGGGAATGTAGCAACACAACTATCAAACAATCAATCTACTTTCACAGATTATTTTGATGATGCCGTGATAAATGTAATGAGATCATAGGAAGCAGCAAGCTAAAATCCATGCACAACTTTTATCAAGAATAGAATCATAGAGCAAAATAGCTCACAAGCTGCAAATTGTACTAAAATCGTGAGTCGTGAGTCAGTACTATGAGATGATTTTCTTCAGTCACAGGAAACCCTACCCAAAAACCCATAAGGAGACTGCAAGAATCATTGTGCCAATCATAACCCATTCGCTTTTAGTCACAGGGCCCATGCGCTTCAGTTTCTCTTCAGCCAGTGCTGGGGCATCAGGGGTGTCCTTTGTTTCAGGGGGAAAGATTTTGTACAGCAAATATGGTGTTGCTAGCAGAGAAACAAGAGCTGGCAAACTAGCAGCTTTGAACCATGATACCCATGGATTTGAGATGATTACACCAAGCTCCTCTGCTAGCTTCAAGCACAACAGGTTTTGTGCTGCAGCAGTGAGGAATAAAGCACTCGAGTTGCCACTTGCCTGTCAAGCAACATAAACCGTCAATTTGCATAACATACAGAAGAATTATAAAAACATTCCGCAATTACATGTAAACAGAAATGGGCCCTATTCCAAAGAACAATATTTCAGCATAGAATTCCAAAATTGGGTGCATTTTCAGGATTTTCTATCCCATTTGTTAGCACTTGAGGGATTCGGCACTAGATGTTCTCTCAGATAGATGGCTCATGGAGCCACATGTCAGTGAGACCACATGCTTGCACTGCCATTAAATTAGTAAGATCTTGCAATTCAATGTGTTCACAACTGGATGTCAGTAAAGCTTCAATATGTTTAAAAAAAACATATTGAAGTTTTATTTTTCACTTTGTAATACAACCGGAAGAAAGAATAAATTGTCCTCATTCTCACAGAACTTTTCTACATTAAAAAAAACTTAGTAAAGAACGGATTAAGAGGACCACTTCTACTAAATTAAAAGGTTACTACATCCAGTCATGAATACATGACGTTTTGGACAAACAAACTAACTAAAACTAGCTTGTTTTCTTTGTCCAAAATGTCTGTTATTCATGACTAGAGGTACTAATCATTTTACCTTTCATTAGTGTTAAGGTTTATTTACCAAGAAAGTTCTTCAGCAATAGGGCTATTCATATTAGATAAGCATCCAGTTAACACAGCAATGCCACAAGAATTATAATCACCTCTTGATTTAGTACCTCTTGGATGAGAGCTACTTGTAAGCAAGAGGCCAAAATATATAAAATGAGTTAAGGGTATGATAACCTTCCTAGTTTATACTAGTATAACTAAATTATGGACTCACATAAACTCATTTTTACATACTGTCATAGTCATCCAAGCATCAATGAACAAAAAGAAAATGAGGTTTTCATTTTTTTTTTTGTCGAACACGCAGGAGAGCTGCATAACATTATATTAAGAAGAATAAGGAGTTTAGGTGACTCAAATAACCCCTTAGAAGGACATGACCAGTACAACAGAAAAAACAGACACACAAAAACTAAGTAAAACCAAAGACCAACAGATCAGTCATGGCCATAAGCTACGGAGCCCTTTGGCTCCTGCCATATACCACATCTAGGTCTTATCTCTAATATCATGCATGATGGAATTAAAACTGGACAGAAATCCCTCAGACGCAACAATTTCTATGCTTCCAAATCCACCATGCCACGACGATCAATGAGTTGAAACCCTTATGATGATGTTTAGGAACATGCTGCAAAGCTAGGCGTCACCAATCTCTAGAAATGCAATCTTCTGTTCTTGGGGATAAGTGTTGCAGCACAACTAGAGAGAACACAGAGAAGCATACACTTCTTGTGAACACACAAGATGTCATGTAAATAGGCAACTAAACACAATCCTGAATTACATTGAATAGCAATTGATATATTTGGCAGTTAGGATTGTAATCCGGTATTGCCATATGTATCTGGGGAGGTGTCTTGGCCCCCAAAGTTTCTACACTCTATATACACCACTCGAGAGACTTAATGCAATACATCCACACAATACACCCAATCCTTCCTACTTTCATGGTATCACGACTTTAGGGTTTTTATCCTGAGTTGAGGCTTCCACTACGGTTGCCGCTCTGCCCCTGGGGAGATCATCTCTGCCATAGCGTCCTCATAGGAAGGTTTTGGCCGGGGATCTAATTGATCTGCCACCTTAGCATCCCTAAAACCCTAAACCTGCCTTAGCATCAAGTAGCAATAGATGGTAAGGGCGGCTCATGTGGGCATTGATGTGCTGTCGTGCTACTCGTCACCGTTGTAGTCAACCCTATGTGCCACCCCATCGAGTCACCATCGTTGGGAACTACTGCCCCCTCCTGATATGCCTCCCCCCTCCTTAGCAGTCGTTGTTGTCGCTGTCCTTGAGCGTGAGCGAGTGGCTGCGGAGGAGATCCTTGGGGACATTGAAATGGGGTGTTGCACCGCCGGACCACCGCACCGGGGCGGCCGATTGTCATGCTATTGCAAGTGGACATCTGACTATCGCGCCATCCCTCGAGACCACGACCAGCATTTGATCTAATGTTGTGTTTTTGCTTTTTTCCCAATCAAAGATCGGGATTGCGTCACCCTGTCTACCGATCACTCAACGCTCATTCGTTGACTCCCAAGGACGAGGTTGTCTTTGCGTGTCCTCCTAGGCAGTAATGACGACGGCATTAATCAAGGCATATTTCCAATCACATCCTATCCAGGATGGCGCCACCCATGTTGTTGTCTCTCAATCCGAGTTTGTGCATAATGCCACTACCTCCAGGGCAACACCGCCAATGTCGCTAATGGATGACGCATGAGCGCTTGTTAATACATACAACAACCTCAACTATCGCCGCTGTTTGGTCGGCTCATTGTCGGTTTGTCTACTAGAAGCTAGTGAGTGTACTCATGTCGTTGGTGTTTCGAACCTGCGATTCCCTCCACGCCTTCGACCACGTCCACGTCCACCTCGACCTCATGTACTTTGGTGACGAAATAGACTATCGTCAGCATGCACTACTCTTCGCTTTCTACTCTAGTCGTAGCCGACTCTGCATTGTGCAAGAGGATGTTAGTCTTCCTCTTATCCTCCAGTCTACGATGCTCCCGCTATGACTGGGGGTGTTAGAGTATATTTGGTAGTTAGGATTGTAATATGGTATTGCCATATGTACCTAGGAAGGTGGATTGTCCCTTAAGTCTCTATCTCTCTATACCATATGTATCCAGGCAGGGGGATTGTCCCCTAAGTATCTATGCTCTCGATATATACCGCCCGAGCGGCTCAATGCAACACATCCTAGACAATATATCCAATCCTTCATGCTTTCAATAATGACTTAGGCCACAACCATAAAAATCTAATACTATAACCTAGGTTCAACACCATTATCATCAATAGCCTATAGAACTAACTATTTATTACATCTTACTTCTCCGAAGAAGTCAATGTTTATTTGGGGAGACTTCAGGAGGCCCCTAACCCCAAAGCCCGATGCTGGTTCTTAGGTAACGGCTGCAACGTACTGGGCCATAAATGGGAAGCAAATCCTCCCGAGGGCTCCGAAGCCTTCATCAAGTTCTCCGGACCACTTCAAGGACGATGAGATGACCACGATCTATGATGATGCCATGGGCACTGTTGGGACAACCACAATGCACGTGACAGTGGGCCACATGCCCTGATGATCGCTACAGTACCCGGTATAGTGACAACGTTATCTGGTAGTTGGTTGTCGCAAGTGTTATGTGGCTGGAGGATTGAGAGGGAGAGGCGAGGGGAGCGACGGCGGCTGACGCGATACAGTACCCGCGGTGCTACAGTATCAGCGGGTACTGTTCACGGCTAGGGCTGCGAGGGTGAGAGAGAGCCGGCCGCGGGGCGTTTGCCCACGGCCGGACAAGAGGGAAGGGTTTCCTTCTTAATTCTTGCTTGATTAGATCGATACATCTCATTTCCTTATATAGAGAGGTTTACTTGACTCCCAAGCAAGGCTTACTTGACCCTTAAGTAAGCGACCCTTATCTCTAATTAACCCTAACACTAATGGGCTATACAGCCAACCCAGGCCCAATAGGCCCCTGACGTACTCTAACAACAGCCAACCCAGGCCCAATAGGCCCCTGACGTACTCTAACAGCAAGATTAGAAGCAGGAAAGACAATGGTGCCCCTCCATGGCACAAATGAGCAAAATATCCCTCTTGGTAGTATAAATACATGACACATGCTTTATGAGAGGGGATTCCAGATTCTCACACTCCACAATAGTGCATCACTATTTAGCTTTTCTCTTCCCTAAGCTTGAGTCTTTTGCTATCAAGGCTCTCACCACATTTAACTAGGGCAAACGTTCTTTGCCCCAACCATTTGTTTAAAGGAAAATATATTAACTAAGTGACACAATGAAGCTAGCTTCACCATTTTAATGTAAATCCTATAGAAAAAGGAATTTCCTATAAGAAGGAGACTTGGTATAGTTGTGAAATGCATTAATGCAAGCATGCAGGATGTCCTAAGAAAAGCTTAAGGGTGTACTTAGTTTAGTACCCAAGCTAGCCAAGCCAATTGGCTACTTTGACCAATTTTGTTGGATGTCAAAATTGGGCCTAGCACCCTCCACCTTTGGCCACCTCATTTTGGTGGTCAAAATTGGCCAAATCCATGGTCACCAATTTGGTGACCAAAATTTGGGGGGCTTGGTTAGGAGATGCGAGAAACCAAACACTCTAAAAGCTTTATATAGATTGACAACATAAATAGCTACTTCCTCTATTTCAATTGTAAGTCGCTTTCATTTTTGTCCTAAGTCAAGCTTGTCGAATTTGACCAAGTTTATAGAAAAATATATTAACATACAATTTCAACTAAATGCACCAAAATATGTTTCATGGTGTATCTAATGAATCTTGTTTGATGTTGTAGATGTTCACACATTTTTTCTAAAAACTAAGTCAAAGCTAGGAAGCTTGACTTAGGACAAAGCTAAAATGACTTACAGTTTGGAACAGGGAGTAGATTCATTATGACAAATAGTTCCATAGTACAAAATTCATTCCATTTAATATAATAGATTTTTAAAGATATAGCTAGTCAAAGTGCCTTATAGTATTTCTGATCAGAGGAAGTACCTTTCTCTGAAGATAATGTTTTCTACTTTCAGACCCAACAACAATTCAAACCACTCTGGTGGCATTTGATTACCTTCATGAAAACAAGGAATCTCTACTTCCAATTTCCACAGAAGGATACAGTGAATGAAGCTAATAAATCAACAATGGGCCCTTACTGTAAAAATTCAGTTGGGAAAACGGTCGCTCTTAATTTGGTGGTGATCACCGTGTTGGTGCATTCATCTATCAGAAACCAACTTCTATAAGGTTTATCTGATCTAGGATCGAATTGGAAGCAGCAAGTTAGTCAACTGATCCCACGCAAATCTGACCAATTGCATTCTGTACATAATTACCTGGAATTGCGTCATCACAAGATAGGACCCAAGCTTCCGTGACGATGGATGGTTGGGCTTGCTCTCAGCCGACAGCGAGAGCGACTTGATGATGGGCAGGAACACGCCTCCGGCCCTCGCCGTGGTGCTGGGCATGGCCGGCGCGATGCAGGCCTCGCTGATGGTGAGCCCGTAGGACAGGCCCAGCGTGCTGCTCCCGAGCCACTTGACGAAGTAGGTGGCGATTCGGTCCCCGAGGCCCGTCTTGACGAACCCGCGCGCGAAGAAGAAGGAGATGACGATGAGCCAGATGACCTCGTTGGTGAAGGCGGAGAAGGCGGCGGCGAAGGGGAGCGTGCGAGTGGCGACGGCGGCGGTGAGCCCGAGGAAGGCCCACGCGCCGACGGGGAGCGGGCCAAGCACCAGCCCCGCGATGGTGGAGAGGAAGATGGAGAGGAGCTGCCACGCCTGCGGGCTCATCTCGACGGGCCGCGGCGCGAGGAACCGCACGGCGAGGCCGACGGCGATGGAGATGACGAGCGGCACTGGCTTCGCACCAGTGGACTCGGGCTCAGGCTCGGGCTCGGGGTTAGCATCAGGGGTTTGGGAGACGCGAAGAGGCAGGCGGAGGTGGCGGCGAAGGGTGGGAGAAAGGCGATGATGATGCGGGGAGGAAAGGGAGAGTGGGCCGGGGAGGTGGTGGAGGTGGAGGTGGCGGTGGCGGTGGCGGCGGCGGAGGTGGCCCGCCGCCGGTACTGGCAGAGGCGGGCGGTGGGCGATGGCGAGGTGGAGGTTCTCCATCGACGGCCGCGGCAAGAGGCGGGCGCCGGGCGGTGGTGGTACTGGTTTCGTTCAGACTTCAGTTTCAGGAGAGCGACCTTTACGGAAGTGTTGGTAGCCTAGATTCTAACGGCTGAAATCGAGGTGCGACGTGGGGCCCGGTTGCAGTCGGAGGAACCGGGGTCATCACCTGTGGACCGCGCAGAGCAGCGGCGGTGGATCCTGCGAGGCGCGGAACCAATGAAATGATGGCCGCCGGCGTCCAGGCGAAGGTGGGCTCGTAGTATATGGTCGGATACCATCTGCGCTGCGGTCTGCGGCTCAGATTCACGCACGCGACTTCCGCTCACGCTACGTTTCCAACGGTGTCATTATGTATGGTTCAAAACAATCGGTAACTCTGGTTCATACAAAAGAAAGAGCCAAGAAGAGCATCATCTCATTGGTCCTGTCCTCGGTCACTTGAGTCCTTTAGATCATTGCTTGCTAAATAGTAGCTAGCTAATAGTTAATATTAATTGTTGTTGGTTAATTTGGTTCGACTAGTAAAACAGTTGTTAGTTGGGTATTCAACTAATAGCTAAACTATTAGCTATACTTTTTTTTATCTAAGTAGCTAATTATTAGCTTTATAGATTCTAATAGGACCTAAGTGAAGTGACACGTCCGTGAATCTTACCATTCTTCCTCTTTGGGTTTTAGCAAATGAAGGATACTAAGGGAACCAACATTGTTTTTTTATTTAATACTCCATACTCCCAAACTATAAGGTTTTTAAAAAGTGAAACAAAATAACCAAAAAAATGTCTATCACACCCGAACATTTTGCATGAGTTTGATTTCGAGATAACCTGTGATAGCATGGTCATGTTCGAGAATTTTATGATTGGGTTCAATTAAGGAGACATGATCATCCTTTTGTTTTGTATGTAGTTTGACGACACCGTGAAATTACATCTATGCCCTTGTTGCGTAGGGCGACTCAATGATAAAACATTTAAGAAACTAATAAAGTTTTTAAGGTAAATATATGTTATAGTTCCTACAAGATGATACCAAATATTGGCAACTCTAAAAAAAAAGGAAATGATGAAAGTGACATGAAGATTGTGTGGATAGGTCAAGGTTAGGAGAGCACATGGTGGGTAATACAGTAAATCCCTAAAGGGCAAATTGGTCCTTTACCAATTCACAAGCTACTTCATGCAGTTAGCTAGATTACTGTTACGAGTTGGGGTAAGCTACTAAAAGCTAGCATGCATACACCTGAAGCATTTAAAGCCACAATTCACATTGATGGGTTTCGGAAGAATAATTATGCAAGTAATGGAAATTTACAAACTTACTCTAAGGGATTAATTTTTGCGTACGAGACCATTGTGCTTTGGTGGGAACTGTCATGTATTTTTAAACTGGAAGCTCAGAATTGTTCACAAAATTCCAGGCCTTCACTTGCAGCATTTTTCAAAACAAAATTGATAAAGAATTGAGACACGAGGTACAACTACCCTTTTATTTCTTTTCTTGATAGATGCATGGAAATATGTATATGCTTGTACCTTGATACAAAAGTCACTTAAATTGGTGAGAAGGGAGTTGAGGTATGAGAAAATCACAAAATAGATCTCAGTCAGGAACTATGAAGTTTAGTTAGAAAATATTGATTTGCATACTTGGGCGATATGATTTTTTTTAAAGAAAGCACTAAAACATATAGAAACACATGGATATGAATCCTCTGTATTTTGATTTTGGCTTGGCAAGGATCCTCGGACAGTACCAAATATCTCATGCAATTTGTTGGTTTGGTTCCAACGAAAGCACTGCACCACCCCCAGCCAAGTTTTTCCGTGACGGCTAGGTCCATCAGTAAAAGTACCAAAAACCGTCAGAAAAGATGCTGACTTGCTTTTATTCCGCTGTATCCATCTCCGGTGGCGCTAGTATACTACCATTTTGATGTTCTTCACGGTAGCTAAAAAATGCTGACTTGCTTTTATAATATGTCAATATCTATATTAATATTAGTATATATGTTCTCCGTCCTAAAAGGAATATAATTCTCATTTATTGAGGAGTCAAAAAAATTTAAATTTGACTAAATTTATACAAAAAATTACTAACATTTATATTGAATAAATAACATTACATTGAACTACGAATTTTTCACAGTAAACCTAACTGAGGACATAAATATTAATATTTTTTCTTATAAACTCGGCCAAAACAACTTTGACTAATTCAAAACTTAGAATTGTATTTTTTTAAAATGGAGGGACTATGTCACTTTAGAACTAAGGAATTTCAGAGGAATCGTACATAAACTTCACCCAAACTAGAAGGATACCCTGAGCTGTGGGACTCTCTTAAAAATAAAACTATTGCATATCTGAGTTAAATTATCTAAATGTTCTTACATCCATTCTTATAAAAAATAGTTGCATTAAGAGGTTGGAAGTTAGTAGGATAATGGCTATTAGTGGGAGACGATGTAGATAGTTAGTGAAAGATGATGTGAACGGCTTTCATGTTGAAATAAAACTTGTAGTGAGAGGTTGGAAGCTAGTAGGATGGCATAGCTAGTGAAAGATGATGTGAACATATAATAGTGAAAGATGACGTGGATGCTTGTATGTTGAGATAAAATTTATAGTAGAGTTTAGTTTTCATCTACATGTTCTTACATCTGTTCTTATCAAAATTGGTTGCATTAGGAGGTTGAAAGTTAGTAGGACGACATGACTAGTAGTTGGAGAAGATGTGAATAGTAATGGAAGATGATGTGGATGGCTTGAATGTTGAGATAAAACTTGTAGTAGAAAATGTTTGAAGTTAGTAGGATGACATGACTATTAGTGGAGATGATGTTGATAGTTAGTGAAAGATGATATGGATACTATTGAGGGCCTTACGAGAGATATAGATATAAACATAGGGCTTGATTGGTTCGCTACCAATTTTTGCCAACCAAATTATGGCAAGCCAAAACTTAGGCTTATCAAAATCAAGGCTGCCAAAGTTAAGGTAAAAACATAGGTGCGCATTTAGTTGGCTGCCAAAATCAAAGCTTGTTAATTTTCTTTTTTATACGTAGTTTAAGAATTTTCTAGAGACTTGCTAAAACTTTGGACAGGAATATTGGTGTGCCAATTCTTAAGCGATGAATCCATTGATGACTATAAATTTTGGCATGCCATATATCTTGGCTGGGCAAGAATTAGAAGCACTCATGGATCACTGAAGAAAAAATACGGAAAAAAGAAAAAAAATTCTGCGTACGTTGCGGGCTTGCGGTGGGAACAAAGAAAAATCTAAAGCGAGAAAATACAAAAACAGGAGCCGAGAAACACATGACGACGGGCCCCGATCGGGCCAGAAGAGATAGGCCGTCCGTCCACCTCGCTATCCTCCCGATCCCGAGCGGCCGAGTCCGATACAACTCCGCGCATGCACAACCACGTGTCCCCCGAGTCCCCAACTCCGCTGCCCCGCCCGTCCCTTCCGCGCGCGCTCCCCAAGGTGAGATCAGCTTCTCCGTCTCCGTCTCTTCCCCGCCGCTCCTCACTCCCCCACGCTTGGATGGATTCCGTCGGTACAAATCGGCCCCCGCTGCGCTCCGTTGCCGCCGCAGCCACTCGACGCAGCGCGCTCCTGCGGCCGCCTCGCCACCTCGGGCTCGGCAATCGGTGAGTGGTTCTGTCCTGGAGTCTCGATCAGATGTTGATTTGGTCGTGCTACATTCCCTCGATTCGTGGCGCGGCTCGGCTCGACGCTGAATGCTGTGCTCGTTGTGAGTCTGTGCAGTTTTGCGGAGACTAAGCTTGGGATCGCGTCTGGGTGTGGAGGAGGAGAGTATTTTGGAAAGGCAGGTGTCTCGATTTTTGATACGGTTCATGCCATAGTGGCATGCTGATCTTTGGATTGTCTGATCCAAGCAAATTTCGTGGTGGCGCAGGTGCAGCGATTTGACGCCTTGCGGAGTAACACGACGAAAGTTCAGAGCGGGAAGGCGGGGAGAAGTGTGACCAAGGTAGTAGAGCACTACTATTCATAGAACAGTTAAACCACTGGTCGATCATATTGTGTTGCTTGATATAATCGAGGCCATTTTCAAGTGATGGGTTAGCACCGTGCAAGTAAAATTTTGCTGTATGCAAATGTGCTCTGTATTTATAAGCTGTATCATTCCTGACACATTTTGCTATTCTGGAATTGAATTTTGCTTCTGAACTTAGTACGCATTGTTTGTCATGTGTTCTTTTGGGATAATGTTTATCCATTTCGTAACTACAGGAAATGGGACACATCTCATCTGGCAATGAAGTGCCCTTGAAATATTCTTCCGGCAAAGCTTTCCCCCTAGGGGTGTCACAAGTTGATGATGGGCTAAATTTTGCTATATTCTCACAGCATGCTTCTTCTGTCACCCTTTGCTTGAAACTTCCTGATAGGTAATATTTTCTCTCTTAAAACTGTGTTGTGATGTTACTTTCCATGTCATTCAACATAACTGCTGGCTAGTTTACTGAACTTCGTTTGTTTCCCTTCGGATATGAACTTGTGTAGTTTCTTGGCCACCTTGGAATTCTAATCTTCTCCATTCCAAGTTTAATTAGCACTATTACTGCATGTGTTCATACTTTATAGTTGCTTTTTTAGGATGTCATAGTAAACCTTGGTTAGTTAGTCCATGGCTACTCTTGTTTCAGGGTTTTAAAGATACATCAATACTGATTGCACAACCTGACACAATTTATTTCGTGTTTTGGGATGCGCTTGGTACACCGAAATCTGAAGTGCTTTAATGAACACCCTCACCCCTGATTTTCCCCAAAATGAAAAGAATCACATAGGGATGAAAACGGTCAGTAACAATATTTCCTATGTGGGAAACGATTCCCAGTTGGTTGGAAACTCACTATATTTTCAACTTAACAATTTAGTGACTACACCAATACTGTGCTGAAAGAAATTAGAAAATCAAAAGTTTAAATACGGTAATGGTCGGAAAAGGTTATAACCGATATCACTTTTACGGAAATGATCCCTGGTAAATGATGTTTTCCATTGCTGTTTTCACCACCACATACCAACAGACCAAATTGAAGCCATAACTGAAGGGCTATTACCTGATAGGGTCCACAAGGCAGTGGCGGAGCCAGGATTTCAAAGCTGGGTATTCCCATTTGCTAAGAAAAAAGTTCCATTCTAAAACTATATATAAAATAGTTCACGACGACACTTGATGACTAAAGGCATAAATTGATCAAATCTAAGATACCCATAGAATAAAGGGAAATTACAACATAGGAATATTAATGAGAAACGGTTTAAGTGTAGAAGACGGTTCCTCTCTGATGATGTTGAGAAGAAATAATAGGATAATACCTAGCAAGCTTAACCAATCGTCTTTATCAATTTCTTCGTTCTGCATACTCTAGGATCTACAAGAAGGATGTACGCACTATATTAATTGAAAAGTTGTAATAATCATACTACAAATAATCCTAAATTAAGGCAATAGGATTTACGAAAGATGTGCTCACCACGTCACGGCGTCATCCATGCTAACAGCTAGTAACAAATAATCCTAAATTAAGGCAATAGGCACCTCGTTGTTGTTCTCGGCCGATGGCCCTTGGCTTCACGCAGCTGTGCATGGCGTCGCGCCCGCCTTGGGGCCTGCCCAGCTGGCCAACAGCCCCAGCGCAATACAGGGGCTCTCGGCACCAGTGTGGGGGCGCGCCAGCCGCCTAAGCGTAGCCACTAGCTGCTGCCCGCAGTCACGAGCAGCAACCATCGCGGGGAATCGAAGCAGGGATTGGGCAGGAATCGGCTCTAGTTCCTGCTTTCTTGGGCCATCAGGTAGGGGCTTTGAGATGGGCTGTGAGAGTGGATGCCTCCACATCGGATGGGAGTGGCGTTTTGACTTGAGAAATAGAGAATAAAGCCCACTATAACATATGCATATATGTTTAATTGATGTATAAGTATTTTTTTGGTATAAAAGTTGGGTATTCTTGGGAATACCCAGGCATCAACGTGGCTCCGCCCATGCCACAAGGAATGTTATAGTTCATGATTCTTCACATTTATTTCCTGTAATCATCTGGATCATAAACTTGGAGTGTGGTTCGAATCATCACCATGCTGAAAAGCACTGAACTGTAGCCTTTTTCTTCTTGCTCTCCAAAGTAATATGGCATACTCAATATGCAAACATCTGAATTTTCTGAAATCTTTTTTCAGAGGCACCCAAGATGATGTGGACATTGTAGAGTTTGCTTTAGACCGCCAGAAGAACAAAACTGGAGATATATGGCATGTGTCGGTGGAGGTAGTTTTCTTTAGTTCTGATACTATTTTACCTTTGGAGATAAGCACATTATTCTTTTTTATGGATGGCTTGTTCTGGACTGACATTCACAGAACTTCAAGTGATGCCCTATGTTTGCAAATTGCATATTCTTCAAGTGCATGTTCCATTTAATAAAGATAACCTGCATTTGGGAGGGACCGTACCTGATGTGATGCCCTATGTTTGCAAATTGCTGACCTTCTGTTATGAGCTTACCTTCCCTGTTGACAGAGTAGCACTTCTCAGGTCCTGAGTTCGACTCCCCATGGGAGCGAATTTTAGGATGGGGTTAAAAAAATCCCCTCGTCTGTCCCACGCCAAAGCACAGGTCTAAGGCCTGGTCCCGGTCGTGGTTGTTCTCACATGGGCTACGGTGCCGCTGTGTATGGGTGGGGTAGGGGTTCGGGGGTTTTCTTGACTTGCGTGAGAAGGTCTTCTTCTTAATGCAACACCGGGGGCTGTCTTACCTCCCACTGGTCGAGTTTTTTTCTTTTTTCTTAATGAGCTATTCTTCTTCATCAGTTCTAGCTTGTTTACCCTCTATCTGTTTTGGTGCCCCTCGTATGCATACTCTCTTATTAAATTTTCATCCACTTTAGTTCTATGTAATTTACTACAATTGTACTTTTGTACTCATCTGTCAACCTTAAAGAAGCCTTCTCTGTCTCTTTTAATTTCAGGGTTTGCCTGCTTCTGGTGTTCTTTATGGATATCGCATTAATGGTCCTCAAGGGTGGCAACAAGGTCATAGATTCGATGACAGCGTTATTCTTCTGGACCCTTATGCAAAATTAGTTTCTGGTCGAAAGCACTTTGCAGTTGAAAGAGAGAAGCCAAGCCAGCTTTTCGGAACGTATGATTTCGATAGCTCACCTTTTGACTGGGGTGACAATTATAGGCTTCCTAATTTGCCTGAGGTATTAAGATCATTTAGCATAATGCACACAATATCTCAAACATGTAATTCTCACCACATTTTTTGTTCTTTAATCTAGACAGATCTTGTTGTATATGAAATGAATGTCCGTGCCTTCACTGCGGATGAGTCAAGCGGGCTTGGTCCAGCTATTCGTGGAAGTTACCTTGGTGTCATTGATAAAGTAAGATTACCTATTCCATCACTTGTAAGCACAACTTGTTTTGGTTTTAGATTCCATCAGTCCTATGTTAGTAAGATCACCTATTATTATCACAAATTGTTCTTTCTGCTGATTTAGTTTTGGGTATCTGATATTGACACAGGCTACCTTCCGATTTCCATGCTGATTTTTTAATGACATATACATGAAATAGTGCTGGTTTCGTAGATTCCTCATTTGCTGGAACTTGGCGTTAATGCAGTGGAACTACTTCCTGTTTTTGAGTTTGATGAGTTGGAGTTGAAGAGGTTCCCTAACCCAAGGGACCACATGGTAAAAGTTTGATAACCTTTTTGACGCATAATGCCCTTCACATTCACCAGTGGCGTGACACCCCACCTTTTGATTTGAAAGGTAAATACATGGGGATATTCTACAATCAACTTTTTTGCACCCATGTGTCGTTATGCTAGTGCGGGTGGTGGACCTGTGGCTGCTTCCAAAGAGCTCAAACAGATGGTCAAGGCATTTCATAATGCTGGAATTGAGGTATTGACATCCTGTAGACATGATAAATATTTTTCTTCAGCATTGTTTTTAATACCCTTGTCCAAAAGCTATTTAATTGTATAACAATGTTTGAATAGGTTATTCTGGACGTGGTTTATAACCATACAAATGAAGCTGATGATGCTAACCCTTATGTGACTTCCTTTCGTGGCATTGATAACAAGGTGATTGCAGAATACCTCTTTACTTGTTGCTACATGTTCTATCATTTAAGTTCCGAGTCCATGGAGAGAACTTATACGATGGAACCTCATCAATTTCTGGATGAATTTATGAGAAAACAAACTGCTGTTCTTGCAGGTCTATTACATGTTAGACTTCAACAACAATGCTCAGCTGCTGAACTTCTCGGGTTGCGGTAAAACCATGGTCCTAAGCTTCTCTTTCTAAATTGAGATGTACTTTGCATTACATGGGTTGCGGTAAAACCATGGTCCTAAGCTTCTCTTTCTAAATTGAGATGTACTTTGCATTACATGTCACATTTTTTTGGATGCAGTCTGATACAGCTAGATGCCTATATTAGGTTAAAAACTGTCATGATTTGCATGGTGTCCTCGGTTTTAGGGTGGTTCCATCTTTTGTTACTTGTTGCATATCTCTTGCAATGGTATTTATTCAAGCATCTCTGGTGACTAAGCAGTCTCTGCGGTTACTAACTTCGTACCATGGACCTTGAATGATACAATGTGGTTTGATGCATGCTACATGTTTCCATTGTGTCGCACTGCCGACAGACTGTACCTGGCAATTACATACTTAATGTAGCTGCTATGTTAACTCATAGAAGGGTGAAGGAACCACTTCATTTTTAAACTGGTATCGATATACAGTCTCACATTGATTTGAGAGCTGCAATCTATAGGGCAAGCCTTGTTAAACATTTGTGAAAGCCTGCTTAAATGTCATGGTACTCTAGTACTCTAGTTCTTGGTAGCTAGATTTTTTCTGTAATATATGTTCTGAACCTTACAATTACCAGGACTTGTATTTACTCTTCATAAACTATCTGGTTTAATGCAGGGAATACACTAAACTGCAACCATCCTTTTGTCAAGGAGCTTGTACTCGACAGTTTGAGACATTGGTATGGCACAACTTACAGCTTTGATTTTTCTGTGACACCTGTGTAGATTTCATACATACTTGTCAGGTTCACCTGAATACTTGTTCACATATTTGCTCTTAATAGTAGTTGGTGGCTTATTGCTTTGGTTACTACCGTATTTACTTGTCCACTCCCACTATAAAGTGTATACAAATATCCATTTGGAGCTTAGCTCGGGTTTATACGATCACACCAAGGGGCGTATCTCATACACCCTGAGGCCTATGAAAACTACCTCTAGAATACAGGGTGCGTTTGGTTCCCGACCTAGGGAACGCGCCTGCGCGAAGCAGCGACGCAAGGTGTTTATTTCGATCATCTGGGGTCGAATCGACCTGCCTGGGTGCAGCCCCCAGGCTAGGGTGCCAACCAAACAAGCCCACATTGCGGGCTCTTGTTAGTTGATAACTAGCAATCATTTGGCTTGTGGTAAGATATAACTGATGCAACAGGTTTTTTCATAAATAGCTGCAGTAAGATGGATAATGCACTGCCTAGTCCTATATTACTTAATATCAGTTCCATTTTTGTGTTGTTTTTGATTTGCATGAGTATTTTTGTTTCTTCAAGGGTTAAGGAGTATCACATAGATGGATTTCGGTTTGACCTTACGAGTGTTCTTTGTCGTGGACCAGATGGCAGTCCTCTTGGTGCACCTCCACTCATTAAGGTACTTCTTGCAATATCAAGCCTGCGATGGGATTTTTCTTTATCTGTCTTTTTTGTGCTTTCTTAGCCAGATATATTTGATGCAAACACAAACATAGATTCTTCAATGTCACTTTATTGTTTTTTTTAGTGAAAGTAATGTAAGGTTCCTACATGTAACTGTGGGTCATAACTCTGAGAGACCATTTGTGAAAGTCACCTTAAATTGTATGTACTTCGTATCTCTATGCTTCTTGTTTTTTTTCCTGTTTTTTCAGAATTATTTAAGTGTTTAAGGGAAAATATCTGACACATTCATATGAGTGCAATTATGCAAAAGTTTTAATGTGTATCGTTGGATGAGTTCTGGATGGCTAAGTTTTTTGGGTATCAGAACATTTTAATTAACCCTGCGACCCACTTGAAGAAAATTGTTAATGATGAACCCTGCCTTGTCGACACAACACAAATACTCTGACCCAATGGATTCAATCATATTTGTAAATCTATCAGATGTTCTTCTTAACAATTTTATCTGATTGTTTATTTATTTTGTTGAAGGATATTGCCAAAGACTCTGTATTGTCTAGATGTAAGATCATTGCTGAACCTTGGGACTGTGGTGGCCTTTATCTAGTGGGGAGGTTCCCTAATTGGGACAGGTAATTTGACTGTAATTTTTTGAAGTTACTAATTTGATAATATGACTATAAAATGTACTAGAACGAATGACTTAAGTGTTTATTTCATAGTTTCTTCTTTTAATCATTTAGTACTAATACCCCCTTAACATTATGATGAATGTAATGCAAAAGAGTAATGTTTTCTCTATCCATTCTTAACTTAGGTGATAGAATTGTCTCTGAACTACTCATTCTTAAATAACTTAGAAACCACACTCCTTCCTCATGAGATTTTGGTTGTTCCTTGTTGAATGGAACTCTTGCCACTATTGTTCCATTCAGAGTCAGCATACAGGCTTCACTGTCCTGTAAAGCAATGGTGCTTACTCGACAGTGCCATTAAGAGATCATGGGACCTGTTTGGTTCTGTACTCAACCACTCCACAGCTCACCAAGGTTTCCATGCCACAGTTTAGACAACCATTTGGTTCATCGCCAGAGATATGGTGCCGACAGAGCTCACCAGGGCTTTGTAGTACTTTTCTCGTCACAGCGCGCCAAGAGTCTGGCGGACAAACCGTCCGCTTCTCCTGTGGCGGTGCCGGAGTGGGCGTGGTGTTTCTTCATTTCCACTGATTATATAAGAAATGATGAATATGTTCACCATTGGTCCTGTAGGTGGGCTGAATGGAACGGGAAGTACAGAGATGATATTCGAAGATTTATTAAGGTACTTTATCGGAGAATCAGAGGCGGCTTAGAAAGTAGAATTATATACTATAATATGCATATCAAAGGGTTCTATTGATGCCATGATGGAGATGATTCTTATGCTAGTTTATCATTTTTTTATAAGTATGCTAGTGTATTGTTTATTTGGCTCATAAATTTCAATCCGCACAGTCTCCTTTAACCGTTGCATAGGATCACCCCTTTGGCAATGTACCGATGCTTAGCTTCGTACTCTGGTTGAGTGGTTGTGCCCATTTTTTTTTTCATTTAGTAGGTTGTGCTTATCTTTTACAGAAAACTGAGTTTATTGTGTAAGCAGTCAATGTTGAGAAGAAAAGAAGACATTCCTTGAGTGTGGTGCAAAAGTCTCTGATGATCAAAGAAATCCTACAGCAGTTTTTATTCACTAATAAATAATGCGGCAACTCTGGGATAATGGACATCAAAACATTCAGTAGTGTAGGATTTACCTTATTAGGGAGATATACACCTTGCTTGGAAATGGTATCTTGAACAATTCCTATCTTAACAACTTTCAGAAAATGAGCAACAGGGTTTCCCGAAGCCATTCGATTTATTAGATTTCGAGGTCAGGGCTAGTTTTTCCCAATCACTTATCATCTGCTTTTAGGGATTGATGTTATCACCCAATTAGAATCTTTCTATTGAGTCTATTGCAGACTGCAACTCTTATGCACAATCATATATTGCTAATGAACATCCTTTTACAGTTTCATGCTTCATTTTGCAGAATTGAAGTTCACATTTATATGCAAGTGTCCCACATAGTAGTGGGCTGCTTACGCCTTACGCATACTTAGTTGGAAATGATTATCTTCTCGGAGTATTTGACAGATAAATTGGCATTTAGTTTCTCAGGACCTGTGCTTCACCATATTACATGGATCCCTTCAGTTTTTTTAATAAGAAACGGTATATGAAATCAAAAGGCTAAATATTTTACATATCAGTGGGTTTAGACAAACTTAAACCTCAATGTTCAAAAGAGTCTTTACACTGTCAGAAATTGTGCAGCATTTTGATTCGTGATTCATCTGTATCTTACTCTTATTCTCAATCGTGAGGAATGATCGTTGATCCGATGTCACTAAACATTTGCAGGGAGATCCTGGTATGAAGGGGGTGTTTGCAACTCGTGTTTCTGGTTCTGCAGATCTCTACCAGGTGCTCTTGTGCTATTTCTTTATGGGCATGTTAGTTTACCCATTGTTGACAATATTTTTTTTTTCGAAAACCTGGCAGGAGCTCTGCCTCTCAATTAAGGAAGGAAAGAAATTTAAATGTACAGGAACACCCGGATGTCCGGGAAGCCACACGTTGAGAAGGAAAGAAATTTAAATGTACAGGAACACCCGGATGTCCGGGAAGCCACACCGGGCTCACACACAGGAAACACACAAACCCCTCCCCCCTATGGGGGTTAACCTGTGAAAAGACTAAGTCAGGTTGCTAAAGACCCTAGAGCGCATATAAATGTCCTCTTTGGCTTTGAAGGCCACTTGTCGAGCATCCATGGCCACATTCTGAAAGATTCTTCTATTTCTTTCCTTCCAAATGTTCCACATCGTGTATATCGCTACCCCATTGAAGTGTTGCCGTCGCTGCCTTGGGACTGTGGCTGCCACTTGTTCCCACCATGTTCTTATTTCTGTTGGTTGGGTCTGAGGCCGGATTAGGTTAGTGTCAAAGTGCACCCATGCCAACACAAGAGTCCAAATCTCTTTAGCTAGAGGGCATAGCAGGCACAGGTGAAGGCCGGATTCCAGTGGACCGTTGTACAACACGCAGTGATCTTTGTTGACAATATTACTTTCTCGATTATCCCTTTTAAGTGCTACTACTTCCTTTTGGGACCTCCAATTTGCTCAATGTTTTTCTGTGTTTTGAGCAGCTCGATTGAAACTATGCAGTTGTTATTTATATGGAGTGCAGCAAAAAAAAATTTCTCGAACACGCAGGAGAACTGCGCATCATTTCATTAGAAGAAAAGAGTGTACATAGAGTACAAGGGGAGAAGAGTCCCCAAACCCACACACATACACTAACACGCAAAGAAACCTACAGCCCACACATCGCCCTTTGAGAAAGAAAACATGACCAGCACTACCGGAGGGCAAAAATCAGCCATTCCAAGTCCAAGACTGTCAGAAGCTCCTGTCGGCTCAAATTGGTGCAGCAATAATCAACACCTATCATATTTCTTGCAAAAATGGGCTCAAATTGGTGTATTTAATTATTTACAGGAACTAATTTGCCTTGTTTAGAGCTATCAACTATCGATACTAATTTCTCCTGGGTCCACTTATTTAAAGGCAGCATCTGTGTAGCAAGTAACATAGTAACTAGTGAGATGCCATTTGAAATTATAAAACCAATTGTCGTTGCTATTTCCTGTCAATTCCCTTTTTTGTATGGAATTTGTTGAGGCTTTGTTGATGAGTTCTAAGATTTTGTTGGCTTGAAAAGCAGCATTAGCTTCTTTTTCCAACATTCAAAATTTGTGAAATAAAGTCTCCTGATATCTTGGTTGACAGGTGAACAATCGGAAGCCTTACCATAGTGTGAACTTTATAATTGCTCATGATGGATTTACTTTATGTGACCTTGTTTCATATAACTCCAAGGTAACTGTAGCAAACGGTGCAGTGATCCAGTGATCTTGAGGTCTTATATACAATGTGTCTTATGTGTTAACATTCCTCTTTTGAATGAAATAAAAAAATCATCCAGCATAATGATGCGAATGGAGAAGGTGGTCGTGATGGGTGCAATGACAACTACAGCTGGAACTGTGGCATTGAAGGTATATACTTCACTGAATACTAGTTTTAGTTTTGTATATCAAAATTTGGGAGATTTTTTTTTTCACACTGCATAATACTGATATATTTGAGTGAAGAATAGTTTTGTAAAGTTGTCCAAAATAATTAAGTGCCATTTTTTAATGTCAGAATAAAGTGACCAGAAGAATAATGAACTTTGAATGTGATGGGTCAGTGTTTGCATAGTTTATAAACAGAACTAAAAAGTTACTCATATTGTTGATGCTTATATGGCATGATTAAGATAACTAATTATACAAGTATTACCTACCTTTTCAAACTAAAGCATGGTGATGGAGCTTTGTCCCTCCTATTTTTTCAGGGATGTTTTTTTTCATTTAATTTTACGTTGCATGTCTAGTGCTATTAAAATCTCCACTCTTGCCATATTACAGGAGAAACAAGTGATTTGAATGTGCTAAGTCTTCGTTCAAGGCAAATGAAGAACTTCCATGTGGCATTAATGATTTCCCAGGTTTATATTACCGACCATAGTTACCTTTTACGTGTAGCTGAGTATAACTTACGAGTTACATTATATACAATAGGGTACTCCAATGATGCTGATGGGAGACGAATATGGTCACACACGTTATGGAAACAACAATAGCTATGGACATGATACTCACATAAATAATTTTCAGTGGGGCCAGGTTACATATGTTAATTTTGTGTTAGTAATTTATTTACTGATGCATGTAACAGCCTTAATGCTAATTTGTCCTCTCCAATTAACATGTTGATGTAGTTGGCAGAAAGAAAGGATGACCATTTCAGTTTTTTCTCAGAGATGATCAAGTTTCGGCATAACCATCCTATACTAAGACGAGACAGGTTTCTCAACAAAGTAAGTTCAAAGTTAGTGTGTCCTTAAGTGTTATTCTTACAATTTCCATCTTTTTTCATGTGACAAGTCCTCCTAAGTATTACCCATCTTTTACTGTATGCTACTCTTGGTTTATTTTTTCCCTAAACATTTTTATTACTGACATCTTTCTTGTTGGTAGAATGATATCACTTGGCATGAAAATAGTTGGGAGAACCAGGACAGCAAATTTTTGGCATTCACGTAAGGAAGTTACCTTAGTGAAAGTGCTACGTTCTGTACATAGGATGGTATTTCTTATGTATTTTTACTGAAATCTTTGATACATATCTGCTTCTTCATGATTCTGGTGCAGAATACATGATCACAATTCTGGTGGAGATATCTATTTGGCATTCAATGCTCATGAGTATTTTGTGGATGCTGTAATTCCCCCACCACCACAGCATAAATCTTGGAGTCGTGTGGTATGGATACTTTCTGATTCTGCTAACATGTTTATACTGAGTAATTTGCTGTTTAGTCCTAGGATGTTCAAGCACCAGGTATCGTCGTGTAATAGCATTGTCTACTGCAATTTTAGTGTATTCGTTACTTGGTGTGGCTAGCTTTTGTGCTGCTTCTATCTTGACTTCCCCTTTAGTTACCTATATCGCCTCCACAGGTTGATACCAACCTGGAATCACCAAAGGATATTGTCCCAGAAGGGGTGCCATTCACAGGTTCAGGGTACAGGATTGCTCCCTACTCTTCCATCTTGCTTAAGGCAAAGCCTTAGAATGGCAGAGGCAAGTCATTCTCAAGTAAGCACGAATAATGTCATGTTTGCTCATTTAAGATCCTTAACTTTCCAAGCTCTTAGCCAACTGTACTGTAAATATAGCAAACTTTGATATGTGAAGTCAGACCAATCCTTGCGGAAATCAACAGGAGAAGCCATGGTTTGCTACAGGTATACTCATGGAGATATGGGAATCACAAGTAACTTCCACACATCGAAACCAGAAGAGCCAGGGGAAGCATGGCTCGAGGAAACTAGTATTCACAAGTGGTTGTTTCATTTTTTTTTTGGTTGCACCTGTGAATGTGAGTCAAGCTCTTGTTAGCTTAATAATTTGGCATTCCATTTCCTGTATCGAAGTATCGAACATATGCTGGGAGAATGGATGCCAGAACCTTTTGCTTTTATTCATCTGTTTACTCGTGTCGTTGAAGATTGCTTGCACTGATGGAGCCGTAATAAGGCCTGCATGAAACTTTAGAGAGACTGAAGTGCAATATGTTCGGCCTGAAATTGCAAGTAACGTACGTATTATCAGTGCGGAGCTTCTTACAGTTAACATCACAGCCCAGATCGAGTCAGAGTGTTGAGGCCACATGCTCAGCGTGTATCGGCTGCGGCGTCCCGGCTGCAGCGTGTTGAGTTGACGGCGACGGCGGTTGGTGCGGAGAAGAAAAAATAGAATAAAATCTGCATGTGAAAATGTGGGGGATGACATGCATCAGGGTTCCCAAGCAAGCACCAACCTGTTCTCCAGTGCAGCCAAAAGAACAGCCGGCGATGACAATGACATGATAACATGGCGATGACAGATGCCAGGGCCGGGCCAGCGGATGCACGAAGCCCCGAACCAGGCATGTGGATACACTAGTTCCCATCTCCGTCTCTCCTGAACGCCACCAATGCGGACAGCTCCCATCACAGCCTGACAGCCAAATGAAATGAAATGAATGAATGCCACTCTTCTTTAATCATTGGCTTGTAATCACCTTCCGAGTTAGAAAGCGAATGGAATTATGCGAACGCCTTTAGCTGAAAGGGCGTACTTAGCTGTCCTGTTAGGGGGGTAGTGATGCTAAATGCTCTGCAAACCTGTGGTTGGCATCATGATTTGCGTGTTAGTACTATATATATGCGAAAGCGATTGAGCCGTTATTACTAACCACCATTTACCTCAAGGATAATGGAGTTCTGCACTTATTTTAGCACAATTCCCTGATCATTTGTTGGTGAGTGGTGACTGATGAACCACTCCGCTAGTTAATAATGAATGCAAAGTTGGTCTCCTCACCGGCCTCCAAAGAGAATATACCAACTAATAAAAATGTACACTTCTTAACTTGCTAACATCCTCATTTTTGCAATGTCGTTTTTGACATACATCGAAGCAAGCTCGGGGTCCGTCAGTAATTCCAAAACAATAGATGTGCATGTTGTTTTTTTTTCTCACTCGAAAAACTTAGCGACCAAGGAGGTCAGGGCGGACAAGGAACTCCATAAAGTATCATCATCGAAGAAAATAGTCCACCATGGCAACCATTTCCTGCGTGGATGTCAAAATTCGATCCTTGTAGTACCCAGTGATTGATATTCTTTATTGCACGACCAGCATCTTCTCCTATTGAAGGAGAGAAAGGCTGCCTCTAGTTTATAGTTCCGCACCGCCCTCTCAAGGCGGAAGCTGCGGGTTCAAGCCCCGTCAGTCCCGAACTAGGGTTCAATGAATGGACAAATTCATCTTTCCTTTTTTCATAGAATTTTTTGATGAAAAAAAAAGTTGCAATACCAGTTGGTATAGCCTGCTAGCCAAAGCCGACACGTCACTGTTCCGAAAGATTTTTCGTGATTGCCCTGCCCTCTCATCATCGCCCACAAGGCCACAACTGTACCGACTGTACCACACTTTATCATCCCTTCATGGGGACGCACATCGGGACATGGTGACTACTTTGCGGTTTCCAAGTGAGCTTGTGGCCGTCACGTTGCGAACTCGACACCGTGGAGCTTGTGGCCGTCACGTTGGATGATGAACTCGACACTTCATCATTCCACTCTGATGGCCACGATGGTCACCGGAAACGTTGTGGACTGCACGGAAAAGAAAACGTGAATTCACCATCCCGAAATCGGAGCCTTGGAAGGATCTGGTTAGTTAGGCTGGAAACCGCAGGATTTATCTTATGGATCAAGTCACAAGAATACCCAACTGCTAATAGGCCGTTGAAGCAAACACGTTTTCATCATTAATAATAATATCATAAAGAATCGTGGACTTGCAAGCCAATCAATCTGCAAGAAAGACTTGAAAGATAGATAGATATATTTATTTAATACATAATATTGTGATTTATGTCTCGTTTTATCTCTATAGGCTGCCACCGTTTTGGAGGGTGGTTCAGCAGTAAAATGAGCCGTTTACAGATAGTCTCCCAATATAAAATTCGAGGAGCGGAACATGGGCTTCATTGATTAGTTTCAACAAACTAATCATCCCCCTTCCAAAGGCATTATTCTAGGCAACGAACCTTAGCTGGAGATATACAAGTGGCCGCCGCGCCAACGACATTATCAACGGCTAGTGTAGCGTTTGCTGGAGTACGCACGACTACAGTGAGCACCAGCTCACAACCGACCATTGTTGATTTGGCATGAAACAAAAAATGGGGATGTAGCCAAATGATTTCCAGATTTTTATCATACTCGAATTGAAGATCCGAACCGAAACGGAGACACGCTTTAGCCAAGATGTGCGTGCCATCGCCGTCACGTACCGATCCAACGGCTGGTATTTTTGGAAACTAGCAGCTAAACCCCTGGTAGGACTAGTAATTACGCATCGTAACCTCGTCTTCTACCTCTTTATAAGATGCGCACCTCTTATAAACTACGCATCGTAAGCTCAAGCCTCCTCTCTCGGCTCCAATGGCGCGCTTCCAGCTCGCGGCCTTGGCCATGGCCATGCTCTTCGCCGCCGCGGCGGCCCAGGCCCCGGCCGCCACCCCGATGCCGGCGCCCAAGGCGTCTCCCCCGCCGGCGACGCCGCCGCCGACCCCGGCGCCGGTGTCCCCGCCCGTCCCGCCCCCGACGCTGCCTCCCCCGGCCCCGGCGCCCGCCCCCAAGGCCCCCGCCCCGGCGCCCGAGGCCCCCGCGCCGGCGCCCAAGGCTGAGGCCCCCACTCCCGACGTGAGCTCCCCGCCGCTGCCCTCGGAAGGCCCCGCCCCGTCGCCCGCCGCCGAGGCTCCCCCCGCCCCCAGCGCCGCCGCCGGCGTCTCCCCCGCCGCCGCCAAGTGGTTCGCCGCCGCCGCCGTGGCCGCCGCCGCCGCCGCCTTCTACTGAGAGAGCGACAGGGATCTGCACCGTCCCGTGCTGTAATTTGTTGTTACCATCCGTGTTGAGCCGTTGATTCCATTTTTTTTTACTTTCATCGAGATTCCATTCGGCATTCGATTCAGTAGGACTACTGGCATCTGCTGATCGTGTTACTACAGTGTAGGATTGTGGCTTGGACAGATTGGTTGGTTGGCTCGCCCGGTGGTGTTGTGCTCCGTTACTCCATTTGTATAATACCCTGTTGATTTTCTTTCAGCATCTTCTTCATCTTTCGCAGTTACTAGTTACTACATTTTAGCTCGTTGATCAGATCAGATCGTGAAGAGTGCTCGTGCAGTAGAGTAGGCTGGGTAGTGTAGTGTAGCTTGCGGCTGTTGCCGCGATCTTGATGCACACACTTGAGTCTTGAGGTCAGGGCACTCACGATCGAATGTGGATGCGGAGAGACCAGACCATCCATGACCATGAGCTAGGGTGTGGTGTTGGATCTGGGCCACCGGCAGCCGCAACAGCTAGCTGTGCTCTGGATCTGGGCGCGTCTCGCAAGCTGCCAGAGGCCATTATTATTATACGCCCCTCCTCCCTCCCTATTTGGCGCGGTAGAGTAGGAGTAGGACTGGATTGACGGAGGCCGGGCCAGCTGGGTGTTTGCAGGCGGTGGCAGGGCAGCAAATAGAAAACGCCACCACGGGGGCGGGGTCGGTGGGGGAACGGTGGCCGCTGATCTGATGCCGACGGCGAGGTGTCGAGGCCGCAGTGGGCGGTGGGGCTGGGGAGCACGTGCCTATGTCCGCGCTCGCCCGTGCCCACCCCATGCGGGACGGGATGCGGCATGCACCTGCAGCGGCGCGGTGTGGCGTTTGCCTTGTTGCGGGTGCCCGACGCCGGGTGGTGTCGTCTGCGCAAATGCTGTGCCCTGCGGACGCACGGCTGCTTCCGTGCGCGGCGGCCGCTGCACGGGCCGGCAGAGTACAGTTACTGCATGCAAAGGACGCGTCCGCGGTCCGCTGGTCGGAGGCGCGCGCGGTTGCAGTTGCAGTTGCAGCGGTGCGTACGGCCGGGCCACTGGGGCCAGACTGCCAGAGTCATCAGTACGCTGAGCCTGCGATGGAAACCCCGAAGGCGAGACGACGACCGAGGCTCGAGAGGGAGTGAGGGGCAGCTAGTTGACCTTGAGGGGAAGGAGGCGGTTTCGTGTGAAATTTACGTGCTCGGAGTCGGGGCAGTGGTTGCTGCTACGCGTTTGTAGATATAATAATAAAGGCTACTGCTACGCGCTTGTTTTTAATCGTCATTGTGTAACCATTTCTGGTGGAAAAGGCAGATGAAGAGGGGCGGCGCACACCATAGGATCATGCATATCCGTTATCACAGATAGAGGATGCCATCTTTTGCAATCTGCTTTGGATTACTATGCGCTAGCCTTTCAACTAGCCATTGACACCTGCTGCAGCTATACGATAGCGAGCGAATAGCTAGCGATTCCGCCAGGGATTTCCGTTTCTCTGAGGAAGCCGCGGCTACCTGTCGCGCACTCGCGCGTTCACGACGCCGGAGCCCGTCCGTCTCCTGCACTCCGTCACCTTTGATAAACCACGGCATTATGCGTTTGTTTAGACTTTGGAGCTGTAAAGAAGACAGCCACACACCGGCCTCCTCTTTGGTTCTTCTTTATTTGTGGGGAGCAGACCAAAAGAATGGCTTTGAGAGTTTGCTTTTTTGGGCAGCTAGTAGCCGGATGTGGCCGCTATATGTACGTCGTTCTGACTTGTGTACCGTGGAGCATGTGCTCAAAGATGGATTACGCGTGTAGGCGTCTTCTCCACCGCCTATCACATTCAGTTAGTGTGGAGACATCCTGGAACGAAACATCTCAATCCCTAATTTTAGATAAAAGATAATCTTATTCTGCATTTGGTTTAGAAGGATGGACCTATCACTGTTTCCTGCTTGGTTGGGTACTTAGGTGATTGTGAGGATCGGGATGAGATGAGATCTCATACTATTAGTTTCATGACGGCTATGGAGCCTGCACGTCATACATGGGCCCATACGTCAGCCTCTCATCCTTATCTCTTCTTCCTCTCGAATCCTGCGTGCGTGGTATGCCACGCCTGTCTCCCCACCTCGTCTATGCACCTCCCGGCCAATGTGCCTCCCTGCCTCAACCTTGCACCTCCTACCTACTATCACATCTCCCTACCAATGAAGGATGCAGAACATGATTGAATGAGGGCTGATCTCTTCTTCTTCCTCTCTCTCCATTTTTCTTCTTTCCTCCACCTCTTCTTCTCCCTCACCCTCCCCATATTTCCATTGATGCACCGATCAGGGGGGGGTTTGGAGCCCCCAGCCCCCCCTATAGATCCGCCACTGCTCCCTACCCCACCGGGTCCCCTCTAGGACACCACGCTACCCCATCCCACCTGCGCCCCTCCTACCCACTGTGTCGCTGCCGTGTGATTCGATCTCCTTTCTAGTCACAATCCGCTTCAATGGTGGCCACGCAGCCAACACCCGCTCGAGCTCCTCCCCCACATCCCTGTGCTCGCCCGAGCTCCTCCCCCATAGTTGTGTGCCTCGCGCACACCGATGCACCGAGCCACCGTTGTGCTCACCGATACATCAGGCGCTTCACGCTCGCATCATACTTGCCATCGTGTTGTCGGCCACAAACGAAGAAACTTCAACATCTATGAGGGACAAGCATGTCCGTTCATTTCGTGGGGATGGGGGATGTCATTGAATCTGAAGGTATATTCCCCTCGAGACGTGTATCCAAACCAAACATATCAAAAAGGAGGATCGATCTAGCCTGTCCTCTTTTATCTCTAAAACCAAACATACTCGACAACCTATATAGCGCCACAAAGGCATTGTAGCAGGCTCAATGTCACCATAGGCATCATGGCTCCCTTCTCTTGTCAAATTCACTCTAGGCTTGGAATCTTGTGTTAGGCTTTCTAATGTGCTTAGATGCAAATGGGTTTGGTCACCTTGGTTCCTTGCCTTCATCGCTGTCGGGTATCTTCCTTGCTTCTGGCGCCTTACTGTCTTGCCTCTTGTACTCGGTGGCAAAGCAGAAGACTAATGGCAGTCCCAATGCTAGAAACCATAAATAATTTCTATGTCTATTAATTTAGGTAGATACTACACATAGAAACTATATTTGCAATGAATAGTTCTACAGAACAATCTTTTGTCCAATCACATGCCATCTCTCTTCCTCATCTACCTATCACATTTCTCGTGCTAGTGTCATCCAAAAAAAGTTGTCCAAGGTGAGATTCATCCTCCCAGGCTTGCCATTAAAGATTGCAATGGATTAGCATCCAAATACATATGAATAAATCCAATTAACATCTAGGTCCAAACCCATCCTAACACAAAATGATTAGTGTACGATCCAATCCAATCCAATTGCTCTTAAATCCAAATCCATCCAATATATATGATCAATATAACGAAACTATTAATAACCGCCTGTTAATTCCATATGAAAAGATTGATCCATAATTTAAAAGCTCGTGTTCACACATAAAACTTTAGCAAAAATAATTAAAATTTGTTAGAGATTACCCAATACGACTGTCCACTACTTTGTGTAGAATGGTGTGACTAGATATACATGTGCCTATGTCGAACGCCAGACCCTAGAATTAAAATCCCACGTTCGAACATTAAAATTTTGTGAAATTGACTAAAATTTGTTGGAGATGATTTAGTACAATTGCTCACTACTCTTTGCAGATCGGTGTGACTATGTATATAAGTGGGCCCCATACTGAAAGCTGGATCCTAAAATTAAAGCCTCATGTTCACACCTTAAAAATTTAATGAAATCAACTAAATTTTTTAGAGATGATTTAATACTATTGCCCGCTACTTTGACTGGTGTAACTTATACATATATATGTGGGTCCCATGTCAAATTTGGACCCTGTCGACGAAATATGGTCGGCAGTCTACCTAGGGGTATGCCCAAGGTAGTAGATTATCGACAGACAGGTGCGCAAGCTACGAACGAGATGGTGACGCAAGACAGACACGAGGTTTTATCCAGGTTCGGCCGTCGTGAGGGCGTAATACCTACGTCCTGCGTTTGATTGTATTGCTGTATGTAAAATGAGATGATTTTTGAGAGGGGTCCTCTGTCCACCTTATATAGTCTGGAGGGCAGGGTTACATATCTGGAAACTAATCCCAACCAGTTACAATTGCCATAGGTGGCCGAATAAGGATTCCTACTCTAACCGACCAGGATCTTGCTTGATCTCTAAATCTGCCTTGATTCCTTGCGCGGGACTCCGAGCAGATCAGCTGGGCCGCACGTCGTCTTCTGGTGGGCCGGACCCCCTGGTCTGGGTCGGCCCAAACTTAGCCGTAAGGGTATAGGGGTTAATACCCCCACAGCTAGTCCCCGAGCACCATGTATTATGTTGCGACACGCCGTTTGATCTTCTTCGGCTAATGCGGTCTGTCTTCATGTCATCTCCAACTGGTTGAAACATTGACCAAGCAAATGTGCCAGTATTTTGGTCAGCACAGAGAGCAGTAGACCACGATTATAGCCGAAGATTTCGGTTGTCCGAAGAATGCATGGTGCTCTAAAGAAAAAAGAAAAAGATTTCTTTCCTGATCAAGTGTGCCCACTTGTATTTCTGAAAAGAAATGTAAGTGACCCTTGTACAGGAATAGTTGTGGCCAACAGTCAGAGCGTAGGGGTCGATAAAATAAGCACATTCACCGTAAGGTGAAGTGTGCCCACTTAGTCCCCGAGCCTGGTAGTAGGTGACGTAGGCACGTGGTGTCAGGGTCTAAAAAGAATTTCCAGTTAAGTTGAGAATCCAATCGTCGTACAAGCGATACGAGCTGCACCGGCAGGTGCATCGTACCGATGTAGTACCCGAAGCTTGATGGAAGGCGAGGTATCAGCCTTGTAGTAAGGTCTAAGTGAGAAAAAATAAATACCTCTCAACTGTATGTGAATACAAATCACATGTAGC